GATCACATTACAAATGACTAAATTTTGATCCCTGAAATTCTTGGTTATACCAATGTTCACTTTGTCTGGTTTTGTTGAAGTATGCCCCAAATGATGATTATTATTATCACGTGGCAGGAATTCTAACAATTGCAAATTTTGGGATCAATCAAAAAATTTTTTTTTGCATGAATTTCCTGTCCACTTTAAAAAAAAAAAACCAAGTCAAATTAACCAGAGCTAGTTAGTTGATTATCTGGTTAAAAAAGTGAAAAAAAAAATTCGACTGATTTGAACAGTTTGTTAATTCCCAAATGACAGATATAGTGAACAAAAGTCCTTGAAGCCTTTTTTGAACTAATAACCACACTTAGTCTATATCAAATAAAAAAAAATAATAACTAAATAATTTGCTAAAAATGATTTGGGATGTAATCGTTGGAGGACGTTGGTTAGTTGAAGAACAAATTGGAGAGGGATCTTTCGGTCAAGTTTTTAGAGGTATTATTTATTATCATATAATTTATCGTTATAAAAATGCTTAAAGTAATAAATTTCATCTTCCTATTTATTAAAAGCTAAACACATGACAAGAAAAGATTTAGTTGCTATTAAAAGAGAAGATTCTTCTATCAATTTTCCACAGCTGGCTGATGAATATAAATTATTAAAAATGTTTGAAGAACATGGTAAATTTTATATTAAATAATTTCTATCAACTTATACCAATTATTAATTAGTTAATTATATATATGATTTGTTTTTTAAAAAGAACATGTTCCGAAAGTCTATTGGTATGCAAAAAATTTTATTTGTTTGTTTGTTTGTTTGTTTATTTATTTATTAGCTTAGGCTTTAAATTTAACAAGTAATCATTATACCCGCATACATATATATGTAATTTATACGATATTGGTTATTTTAGGTATGGCCCAAAAATTGCTTGGAATTGCATGGTGATGGATTTGTTAGGCCCAAGCTTAAAATTGGTGACCGATTCATTCCAAGCCTTACCTGTAGAGTTTGTTAGCGACATTGCAATTCAAATGGTATTTATGAATTGATTAATTGATTATATTATATATGATATATATATTCACCGATATACTTTTTATATCTATAGGTTTCAACAATGGAATTCATACACAGCAAAGGAATTGTCCATCGAGACATTAAATCTGAAAATTTTCTTCTTGAAGATGACTTTCCTATATCTTTAAATGATCCAGAGGAAGTACATAATGATATATGTAGATCTATAATAGACAAATATCAGATATTAGTTGGTAGAAAATACAAAACGTTTCTGGTCGATTTTGGATTAGCATCTTACTATATTGACCAGGAAACAGGAATACACATCCAAGATGATGACGAAAAAATAATAAATGGATTAAAAACTGGTACAGCCCAATATGCTAGTATAAATGTGCATCGGGGATGTTGTAAGTTGTTTATTATACACTTGAATATAATCCATAATAATGAAAATTTTCTAATAATAATAATAATTTTATATAGATCATACCAGGCGTGATGATATGGAATCTCTTGGATATATATTTTTGGAGATGTTAAAAGGGTTCCTGCCATGGTCCAAAGCCATCTGGTATACTGATGAAGAATTATGGACAAGAGTATTGGAAATCAAAGAAGAAACTTCTTTGGTTGACTTGTGTATTGGAATTCCAAGGGGGTTTCTAAAATATCTATACTACTGTAGGAATCTAAAATTTGCGCAACGGCCAAATTATGACTATCTAAAAAAGTTATTATAGTATGTTTCTATTTTTTCTTTTTTTTAATTATTTATTATTACTATTAATTTTATACTAAAAATATTTATTTGTTATATATTTAGTGAAACAAGAGGTTCCGGACCCAATAGTAGATCAGTAACTATAGAAGATGAATGGTATATTGACAGATCCTGGTATAATCATGACATCAATGATAATTTACCATCAGCATCAGCAACAAACAGGTTAAATGCATATGATCCAAAGACTACTTGTAAAGTGGTGTATTATAGAAATGAAAAATGGGAAAAAGAAAGAGCAAGTATTCTTAATGCATGGAATAATGGTCGTACGTGGACCAGGCGTATTAAAGATCATAAAGGAAAAGGTCGAATGGATTATATTGTGATATGTGAATTTTAAGAATTTGGTTGGTATTCATAAGTCACTCAAAATAATTATAATAATAGAGAAAATCTAGAAGTGATGTACAAGGAAATCATCTGAATCAATTCAAATTTAGACCTAATTAATAGTGGTGATTCACATCATCAAATCCTTGTCATCCGGCTATATATGTATATACTATATTATTTAATATTTATTTCATTAATCATTATTTATTATTATACAACACAAGTAACGTGGTTGTTATTTTATCTTCATCTTTTCTTCAAATCATTTGCATTCACTTAGATATATAGATTATTTCATTTCTTAGGTTAGCCATCTTCCTTATTTTATTTGCAAATTTGCTAATTAAAATTACATGTTTTTACAATAATAAAGCAATAACACAATACATAGTAAATTGAATCAAAAATAAAAATCCGAGCACTTTTCTTGTTATTCTTTTTGCATTCTAGCTTTTAAGAAACGAAATTTGAGTTTGGTCCTGGATAAATTTAAATTGGTTATAAAAGTATGATCTTATTTCCAGGGAAGTTAATTGATGATTAGTGCTAATACCTAAGAGAACATTCTTTTACATCAAGTGAATCTAAATGTTGACAGTGATGATAAATATAATTTTGGCTTTCTACAAATAAAAAAAAAGTAAATATTCAATGTAGCAATTGTAATCACTTAATAAATGCTCCAACTTACCCTTTACTCTAATAAATTTTTTCAACTCATAATGACAACAAACAAATTGCGAAAGCCTCAACTTTGAACTGCTACTTACATCGATTTTTTAACAAAGGAGACATTCTGAGCATCTAATCTTGGACAGGATTTTTAACTTGGAAATATTCGCGCTATTGCAGGCAACATTCAAGTTAAATATTGATAATCTCATTATCCAAAATATTCAAAACTTCTAAGTTCACAAAGCCTCTTAAATCAAGATGACCTTTGAGATTTTTCTGAACGAGAACGTTAATTAATTAATTTTAAATAGTCCTACTTCAAATTATTTTATTAAAAATGATCATTTTTGGCGATATGTTTATATAAATTAAAATGAGAAATGCTTGACACAAGCAGATATGGTAAATCGAAGTTTTCAGCACAACCATATTATTTTGCTACAAATTCGTATTTGAACAACACTAAATTGTGATGATGATTCGAAAAAGTTTCGGAGGTTTGGAAAATTTGTAGAGCAAAACTATCTATCTGTTAATTATTGTGATGGGTCTGATTCATTTCGTCACAAAAAAAAAACTTCATTAAACAAATTTCTCCTCATACTTCCCACACACTCCGCTTTCCTCGCCTAATTTCTTAAATAACTTCCCACACTCCTCACATCTAACTCGTTCGGTCTCTGGCTCGAGGATGAAATAATTTTCGACGAAATGAACTTTCGATGAAACAAACTTTCGACGAAATGGGTGTCGACGAAATGATTGTCGACGAAATAATTTTCGATTAAGTAAACGCGACCGCACTCACATATAGGGCATGGACAATAGAAAGAGGTCAACGTCAAAAATCATGATTTTGAATTGATACCACACATATACATAACTTGTTACAAGGAACAATTTTAGTTTGGAAACTATTGCTCACTTAATAAAATTTTGATAAATTTCTATTAAAGTTTTTTAAAAAAGGATAATTACAAAGATCATGATTTTTGAGTTAACATTTCTATATGCAATTTTACTTAAAATTTTCATTAATATTAAAGGATTAAAAAAGAAATGCAGACCATTTTTCAATTCTTCAAAATTGTGATTTTGACATTGACCCCCTTTCTATTGTCCATGACCCATATATTTGAAATACAACATTGTTTGATCAATTCTTAAATGGATGGGTGGGATTTGGCAATGTTGTGTTTCTAAAAGTAGGAGTATGAAAGTTCTTGCTTTCTAGGTTAGTAGTATCAATTTAAAATGAAATATTTTTTAGTTTTCAAAAAGAAATTTGCTAATGACAAAAATTTTTTTTTTTATATATTTGAAATGAATTATTGATCTGTTCAATTAACAATAATATGCTTTGATTCTTTACGTTCTCGCTATATATGTTCATTCGATATCTTGTTAAATGATAAAAGGAATTAATGCTTTTCTATTTTTTGGATATTCTTTAAAATCTTTATGATAATTTTTATGTTTTTTAATAGCCCAAAAATACATCTGAATAGATCCAACAATAGTAAAAAGATATGCTGCAAGTGATTTTGTTAAAATACATATACTAATCCATGCTAAAATTTCAAAAGAATAGTTGGGACATGAGACAAGATTAAATCCATAACCATAAGGAATTTTATGATCACGAGTACCAGGTGGTCGTAGATTACGTAAAGCCATATGAGTATTGAAATTTGAAATTTCCGCAAACTTATTTTTAAATTTCACCAAAACAATAATTATTATTATTGTTATTATTAGTTATATTATAAATGATTATAAATGGCATTGAAATTTTTTTCAAGAAATAAAAAATAATTTTTATTTACCAGATAAAGTAAAATACAAGACCAAGTCAAAATTTCATAACGTTCAGAATTGGCATACCAAGGTCCATATACCCAATAAGCTAGGTTAATGCCACTAAGTAAATGATAATGTAATGAATTCTTAAAGACATTAAACATTGGCATTGTTCCATGAGAGAATCGATGTACAAATAAAGTTTCCAGTTCTCTTTTAATAAAATGTCCCATAACCATATAATAGGCAATCCTATAATTGTTGATATTCACATTACTATATATTTAAAAAAAATATATAAAACAAATCAAAATATAAATGATTGATTAATTTTTTCTTACTTTTGCATCTCACTATGTTCAAAATCTTGACCATAAATTTGTGATTTAAAATAATAAAATATTGGATGTAGGATTAATGGGCCCAAATACTCAATAAAAAACACCAATCGCCAACTAATTTGAGGTCCTTTATTAGAGATATTAATAGATTACACAAGTAAACAATTAATATTATTATCATTACTTATTTTACAAATATAAGAAAAATTCATCATACCTAAATCTTTAAACAAAATTGTATCACCATCTTTGATACCATAACCTTTTAAAGTTTTTTTATCTTGCAAAAGTTGTTGAGAAAATGTTAAACGTTGTCTATCAGGATAATAAGTTTTAAATTTTTTATGAATAAGTTCTTTTAATTGGTCAGCAGTCGCGTTTTCTGAAATATCTATACTTATAGGAAATTTCTTTGACTGTTCAGAACGATTGTTAATTATAACTTTCATTTTTTAATTTGGAAAATGAAAATGAAAACGAAAATAAATTTTTTTTTTTCAAGTTTGATTTGATTATATATGAAGATCTTCTTTCCTCCCCAAAAAAAATAGTAAATAAAAATTTTTAAGAATTTTCATACAAAATTGGTAAAGTAAAACCTATTTTAATTTGGTTCATTATGGGATATAAAATCCTCAATACCTGATATAGAAAGAACCATTCATTATATAGAGAACAATGGCAACAAATAGTATAAACTTTACATCTTTATTTACTATTTAACTTTTTCAAGTTATGATCAACAGAGATCACATGAAATTTAGAATTTATAAAGAATCCGGCAACAAAAAGCTATCCAAGAATTAATTCTTGAAGGAAGAGGAGATGTGATGGCAATAGATTGTTGAAAGATAGAAATGGAATAGTTTAGAATGAGTTGTGAAAATTGATTGATTAATTGATTGTAGGTTATTGGATAGTTGTATGGATGGTTTGATGGGAAAATGTATTAATTTGGGTGGATCATGTAAGAATAATGTAATTTTATAAAGAGAAAAAGAAAGAATTAAGAAAAAAGTTGCTTGGAAGATTTGGAGAAGAAACAAAGATTCAATAATAACAAGATATTGCTGATAATAAATAATAATGAAAACATTTTTTTTTTTTAATAATATTAATATTAATGAATTTATAATCATCTATATTTATTTGTTTACCCATTATTATGATATTATTATTCTATTTTCTTCTTTACGCTCCTCCACTATTTTTAAAGAAAAAAGAGAAATTTAATATTATAATTTAATTATTCACCAATGTAATTGATTTATTATAAGATGATGATGATAATACATACACAAGTATATTATTAATTGGAATATGAACTAATTTTACAAAAAATCCAATAAATCCCATTACAAAAAATCCCATTGCAACTGCTTGTGAAATCTTAATGAATTCTTTATACAATAATAATAATAATTAATATTATTATTAAATAGTTATTCTTATCATTCATATTAAATATTAATCATTAAATTACCTTTACGATCAGGTTTAGTGCATCGATTTACAAACTGAGTGCCTTCTTTGACAAATTGTTTTGGCATCTCAACAAATTCTTTTAATTGATCTGCCATCTTTATTATTATTATTGTGGTTGTTATTATTGTATTGTTTTATTTATACTAGGAATAATAAATGTTTATTATAATTAATTTATTATAATTAAATAAAATAATATTTGTTGTAAAATTTTGAGTAGGAAAATTTAATGTCAAAAAACATTTATATAATTTTTTAAATTAGTAAAACCACTCAAATCTTGCCACGAGGTTGGAAATCATAATAATTGTACACAATGCAATGCAATTTTGGTTTTAAATGTGCAAGTGATCTTGTGTAATATATATATTAATACACATTTATTTTTTTATGTGAGAAGATGATCAAATTAATACATGTTTATTGAATTTTTTAATTGATTGTAGATCATGCAAAAATATAAAACGGACGAGTCCATTGAACCAATTCTAACTTGATACCATTGCCTTTTTTTTGGTTGTCTTCTCTTGAAAACTTTCTTTTTATTTATATATTATTAATTACTAACATAATACTCTTAATTTATTCATTCACCTTTAATTTTATTCTATTCTCCTTTTCCTCCAAGTAAATAATAATATTATTATTGCAATGTCTTCTGTACAACAAATTACTTCTAAAGAGATTCTCATAAAAAAGGCAAATTCTGGTACATCCATACCAGCAAATTATAGTACAACACCTTCAGGAACAATCTATTCTAATACACCTGGAGGTCAGTTAGTATTTAAAAGTTAAAAACAAATGTAAATGTATATAGCATGATTGCATAATAATAATCAGATAATTGTTAATTTAGGAACGAAGATAATTTATGATCGTAATACTTTACTTAATTTAGCAAATTCTCCACTTGCAAAAACTCCAACTAAATTAGCATACATTCCTGGTGTTACTATTCCACAAACAACAGACCAAGATTCCTCTGAAAAAAATGATTCCAACAATAACAAAAAATTGAATAGAGTTGCTGGTCATTTGGCACCCCCAAATTCTAATTATCCTGGTTTTAAAAACACTTTGGTTGATTCCAATCAAAATGGTAACATTAGTAGTGGAGGTGAAAGTGGTGATGAGGAGAATACACCAGGTAAATATTAATAATATATTAGTATTTAATATTTGTAATATTTGATTAATTAATAAATATTATTCTTTACATATAGAACATAAAGATAATCATGAACATGGAGTATTTGATATGGATATGGAATAAAAATGTAGATGAATTAATTAATTGGATAATATTCATGTTGATGATTCTGATGAATTAATAATTTATTGATATTACCATCTCACTACTACTACTTCTAACACTATTAATGATGATCTTTTATTAAGAAAAAATTATAGAAAAATATGTAAAAAGTTATAATTCATTGAAATATAATAATTTGTAAAGATGCTATTGTCAAAATTTTCTAAATTTTGAAAATAAAGTTAGACTCATTATTTCATTAGATTAATAATTAATTCTAAACGAACTTCATTATATATGACTAAACGACATCTTTATATACTCTAATAGGCTGAGTTTCTAGAATATGCATTGAAATAATGTCTAGAAAATAAGCGCACATATGAATATTTTTTGATAATGTTGATAGGATTGCTAATACTGATATTACTGAATTTTGATTATTATCTTCGATTTACATACAATTAATTGGTTTAGTTAAAAACGATTACTGGTGAAGTTGCGTTTTGACTAAATGATATAGACATTCCATAAATTAAAGGTTGTTGGTTCTTTTTGTTTTGATGATGGTAAAATTGGAGTAAGCTTTTCCTCGAATGATCAAATTTTGATTGTTAATATTTCTGACAATGTTTCATTTAGTATTATTATTAGATAGATGGTGGTACATCAAACTGGATATTTCACCAGGAATGTGTTCAAAAATGATGGCAAAAAAAAAGGGTCTGTAAAGATTTCAATATATAACGACGTGATAAGGTTCCGGAGCATATTACTAAAATATTCCTCCGTGACTCAGGAAATTGTGTGTTGGATAGAATTTATTGATAAATACATACGCAATTGAGTGAACTTTTTCGAATCCAAAAAGTACTTATATAATAGTAATGGTAAAAAAATGGTATTGATTATTTGACAAGACTAAATAATATTGAATCGAGGTTATTCAAAACAACGTTACAAGCATCTTCATCGTCAACACGTTCTTTGTCACTTGTCATCAACATCTTTCTTCTCTTTCTCTTTTTCGTCGTTGTTAGTTCCCAAAAATATAGAATTTCGCAACTATGCAAAAATCAACCACAAGTCGAAACTAGTTTTGGCGACCAATACTATTGTTATCACCACAAGTACCTTTGGCAAATGATGATAATAAAAATTTATCAAATAAAAGTAAAAAAACTGACGTATACTTTTGCATAGCAACAACAGCTGATGAAGAAAAAATGTCAACAATAACAAGAAGTAATGAAACATCCTTTATGAATTTAGGATCCTAATCATAATGTTTTTATCAAGGGAACTTGCTGGATGCTGTTATTACAAGTATGTTAATATGATTTCAACCGAAAAAACATTTCCGCAATCAGACCAAAAAGACAAAAACAAATTACGGTCGAACCTCGTTATAATGAAGCGTAACTTAAATAATAGTAAAATCCTTATAACGCGACTATAGATGGGTGTCTAAATTGTTTTTGGGGTTGTCTAAAGTCAAAATAGTATGATTCGTTGAAAACTTCTTTTGCTAAGTTTCTTTCGGTTCATAGTAAAATTTTCAATGGGTGGGCATTCCTTTTTGGAAATTTGCAAAGTTTTTGTATCATTTATTATATTGTTATATCGTCATTGTTCCTTGATATTTCAAATTTAATTTCTTCGATCCTTTTTTGCTTTTCCTCAGTAAAAGATGAACTTTCAGCCGGTACCCTTTTTAATTCCTATTTCTCGGATGATTCAACCTTTAATTTATAGACTCTTCATTTTCTTAAATCTTCCTTTCTTTTTGTTCCAAGTTTTGTTTAATTATCTGTCTTCTTTTCTCATTTCTTACCGTTTCTCCGATTTATCGAAGAGAACTATATAATGGGTAATTTGGTAATTGGTGATTTGGTAGGTTTCTATAACATGATATTTCAAGTCCTGTGAACATTCCCTGTCTTAATGATTTTTCAGTTCATTATTTATTTATAAAGATGCAATAATAATATTATTGTTAAAAGATGTTAAAATCAATTACAACACAATAAATAGCTTTTTTTTTAGAAAAATAAAAGGTTGTATAACAGCCGTGGCAGTGTGATTATAAATTTACGACTCATAATTTTTTAAGCAAACAATTAAAAAAATTAATTGATCTATTATACGTTTTATCCTTTCAATTTTAAATTTTATTATGAACGCGCGTTAATCACAAATCCGACCACAAGGAATGAGAGGTTTGACGTTAGAGGAAAGAAAGACATGGTAAAGTGCCGACCTGGATGATAAAAAATTTGAACCGATGAGGAAAGGCATTCTTTTGTTCCAATTTTATCCATGTATGTAGTTTGTAATTATCTTGATTAATTTAACTATTATATTTTAGACCAATTTCTTCATTAGCTTTCTGTCGTCACCAACATCAGCATCATAATTATTTACATAGCGCCTTTACTTCCTTGGTCGGAAAGGCAGAATATCTATGACACGGATGACGGAAATTGAAATCTATTAAAATATAGTAACAGTAGTATTAGTAGTATTAGTAATTAGTATTTTATTTGAAAAAATAATTGGAAAAATAACAATGTCAATAATATTTTCATTTATATTATATTAGTAGTACATAGTAGGAGTAGCAGTAGGAGTAGTAGGAGTAGTAGGTCAGTTCTAATTTCTTTTAATTATAATAACAATATACCAATTAACGATTTTAGTCCACTCTTCAATTTTGGACAACTATTTCGACTGCAGTATTTTTTTATTTTATTTTATTTATTTATTAAATAATGCTGTATATTTTTACTAATAATAGTAGTGAATTACGTATACTTATAAAACGAAATTTTAAATTGATTAAAAAAAAATTTAATCAATTTAATTACAAGATTATTTTTTCAATATGTTTATGTCTAGCGCAAAGTTGATCGGTTCTCAAATGTTGATTATTACTAATAAATCAAATTAAAAACAAATTAACAATGATATTTTCATATGATGATAATGATAATTTTTGTTGTGTTATTACCTTAATTTTTATTGATTAATTGAAAAACTTCTAATTCATCGAATTTACTGTTATTTATTATATTGATGTTAGAATAAGTAGATGGAGCACTAGAAATACTACCATCTGCTTTAAATTGAATATCAGTGTATCCAAAATAAGGTAAACAGTTTGGACTACGATAGATTGAATAACTACTATTATTACTAGAATTACTAAATTTTGCAGAGTCGATATTATTTTTGTTGGCTACATTAAATATAAAGCTATCAGTTGCAGCTTCATAACCATCTCCATTCCAACCAAGTGGATTATAACCACCAATTATCTGATCCGAATTCTCTATTTTAGCAATTACAAGAGTTTTGGAAACATTATCACATTTTTGATGAAATGTATTTACATTTAAACCATCATTACTGCTACGATATAAAAGTTTAAATTCATATTTGACTTCGCTGAATAACTTGTATGGTGGACTTTTTTTGTCAATCCGACTTGCAAAATTCAAAGTAAGCATATGGTTGATTAATAATGATTTAAGTCTTCTTGATGGTAAAAACTTTATAGTTAGTTTATGATTAGGGAGTATATAAAACCTTGAAAGGTCATTCAATAAAGCATTAGAAAAAAGCATTTGATAAGGCACAATCTTGTGACAATAATCCTCTTTAGAAATATCCTGAAATCTGATCAAGGAAATAAATTCTTTTAGTGTGTTGCCTAAATCAGTAAAATTTTGTAGTGTCCAATTTTCAACATCATTATTGATTTCTTGATGTTTTGCTAATCCCCATTTAATAATACTTTCCCAAACAACTATTTCATCGACAAAAAAATCATTTCTTTCAAGTATTGCCAATAGAATTAATTTTCCTAATGATTCAATTTCTCTTGACTGAAATATTTTTTTCACATAACTCTCATATTTATTAGTAAAATAATTCATTGTATACTCGTAAAGTGACTCAAGTCCAAGTTCATATGCTGCAATATATAATTTCGATATATCCACTTCAGTATAATCTCCCAATTCAATTTTACATGTATATAAAAACCTTTTAAAAGTTAATTAAAAATTATTATTAATATTATAAATATTCATAAATAGTGTAAATATCATAAATATTATAAATAGTTTAATAAGCCTACTTGAGTATATCTTTTAAAATTAGTTCATCAATAGTTGTTATCTTAATAATATAATATCCGTTTTCTTTTGTTGCAGTATCCAATGCATCATTGAAAAATGAACAATGAGTACATATGATCAATGAATGTGCGTTGATTTCTTTAATGTTTGGTTCTACACCAACATAAATTTTTACATCACTATTCTTTCCTGTATTAAATAATCTTTCATTTGTATTAAAATATCTTTCTGATATTGTTGAATCCATTTTTTTTTTTAGATTTTCATATGCTGTGACGATCACGTCTTTTGTGAGGTTTATTAATTACTCGCAGTGTAACCCAACTTCTTCAAAAAGTTGAAATGCTCATAACAACTTTACCAGCGGAACTTTTGATTGAAACATTTAAATATGTTGAAAAAGATTACAAGACGCTATATTCTTGTGTTCTTGTTAATAAAAAATGGCACAACATTAATATTCCAACTTTATGGAAAAGTCCACTCTATTCTGTAGACAATGTCAAAATATTAATCAATTGCTTGTTGGTAGAAGATAAAGATTTCTTGGTGAACAAATACATTAAAATATCATTTGAACTATTGGAAAAACAACCACTATACAATTATGCCAGATTTATAAATGAAATAGATTTTCACAAAATTAGAAAAAATATACTAAAATCAATAGATAGTTCATGCTTTTATTTAGAAGAAAGGTTGTTAAACTTTATTATAGACCATTCAACCATCAGAAAGCTTAAAATCAATAAATACTTTATAAATCAAAGTCTTTTAGATCATCATAGATTAGTTACTTGTTTTCAAAATGTTTGCGAGTTACATTGCAGCATTAATAATAGTAGTCCTGGATTATTAGATAAATTAACAATGATATGCAGAAATATTCAAATTTTAAAAATAGATTATTCTGTAAATAACAATAATGTGGATTATAATCTTGCTCAGCTAATCTCAGCACAAAATCGAATTAAAATTTTGATAATTGATAATTTATACAACTATCCTATAAAACTTTCAGATGTTTTAAAAGAGGCAATTTCTATTCATTCAAATTCAATAATCAATTATGAAAGTTATGGAAATAATACACTAAATTATTTGATATCAACCTTTCAAAATTTAAAATCACTATCAGTATTTGATTATGATGACCCTTACTCACTTAAAAACAAATTAAAAGAATTAAAAAATATTTCACTTCCAAATATTGAAGTTTTGAATGTGAAAGTTGGCAATCAAGAATTTCTGCTTGATTTGAAGACTTTTATTACGCTGAATGGAAACAGTCTTAAACATTTGACAATTGATGGTAAACCAGAAGACAGATCTAATTTGGGTGAACTTGCTAAATCAATTGGACAACAATGTTTAAATTTGGAATACTTATCAATATGTTACAGGAATAAAGAAATTGGTCGATTGATTGATATATTTAATGGTTGTACTAAATTAAAGCATATTTCATTTTCTAATATTTATTCAGATTATACATTAAATGGAATTAAAATATTGGCAGTTTTAAATAAATCATCATCAAAAAGTTTGAGCACATTAAGCTTTAATGTTCAAGTCAATATAGTTAGAGGTGAGTCTTTAAATAAATTGATAAAGTATTGGAGAGGTCCTAAACCATTTAAAGTGCTTATGCTTTGTGATGGTGGTTATGATGAAATAGTTTTTGAAAGAAAAAAAAATATCAAAATTTAACATTTTTAAAATTATTAATATAAAAATATATATTATTATCATCATTAAAATTTTTTTTTTAAGCAAAGATAAAAAATATGATAGATAAGAATTTGATAAACAGATATATAATTCAAAAAAAATAATATTTTGTTACATTTTATAAAAACTCTTTCAGTAATAATCATAATAATAAGTGCTGAATAATGAATGTATTATTGTTTGTCTGAATATAATAATAAATCATTTCTTATAATTAATTATCATTATGTTGTTGTTGTCTTTGAGTGAGCAGATTGTGATTGTATTGGTAGTTTTAACTTATATGATAGTATTTAATATTTAATATTGGTCATTCATCATCAAACATAAAATAATTATAAAGTATAGTAGTGGATCATACATACCTTCTTCTTCTTATTTAGAGAAAACCTTGCTAACTTCACAATATGTAAAGTAGTATTTGTACTCATGATTTACTCATGTGAGTACTCATATATCATACCATTAATGGAAAGATCTTCACTCATGAGTATTATATACTCAAGTGTTACAAGAAAATATTGACCTATCATATTTTAGACATTTTATAAACGCGATTAAAATGAAACTTGTTTATTTTATTTACTTTGGCGAAGAAAAGCCGAGAACAGAGTCTTGCTTATTATTTAATTTGTATAACGAATTTTAATTTTCATAGTTAATTATCATGTCAACTAAAAAAAACACATTCCAGTTTAATTATGAAAAAATAAAATAACTGAATAACATATAACAAATCATAAATAATAAAAATCAAAAATTAAATAATAAAGTATACCAACTTGTCACATTTAAACGAATTTTATATCTGAAGCAAAAATCCGTTGTAACATGATAATTCGTTGAACTGTAATAATGTTATATATAAATAAATATAGCTAATGTTTCAAATTTATTATTCATAATTACTAATACTAATAAAAATCCATTCAAAATTAATTTAGAAATGGTTATTAGGAAAGTGATTTTGCTGCAAAATAATGATATAATTATTATTACAACGAAATTTTAAAGTTTTTTTGCTTCACATATAAAAAAACATAAAATTTGTTGAAACACGACTATTTTGGTATAATAATAACGACAATAATGAATGTTCCCATAGATGTATTTGTTATTTTTTCAAAAAAAATAAAAAAAATTTCAAGCCGATCATACTATATTAAGTATTCGTCATACATTACTCATGAGTACTCACGAGTAATTGTATAATGATTATATTTAATTATTACACATCAATTATTTACATTATATATATATATTATAAATTTGTGATTAGGTTATTATAAGATAATTTATGCAAACAAACCTTTGATGCAATGTCTTCAAGTCTTGAAAGTTATCAAAGGAGGAAAGATTTTTTCTAATTTTCAAAAATGGTTTCACACATTCGTGAATGTAAATTTCTAAAGTAAATCAATCAACTAATTACTTCTTTCATTTCATTCACCACTTCACACATGGCAGACATATCATATGTCTCACTATTATTTGATACTATCTTTCTCCCCAAAAGTGGTTCTTGTAAATTATATGATGGAAAAATTAATTCAATCATTGTGTGACATCCAACTGCACCCATTCATATGGAAAATAGTTCATTCAATAGATTAAAAGCAGGACTTTTTTCGAATATTAAACGCTTTCATTATTGACTTCAAATTAGAAATAAATTGGGGAATTAGATCTCATTTTTCGATGATGAATTGTCTCAGATATTGAAGTTTTTGATTTGTATTCCATTATTCGATAGTTTTGTTACCAAAACTTTTAAAAGAAAATTAGTAAATAAATCATGATCATTATGCCGTACCACCTTGTTTCCTTCAACTTATTAATAGCGAAACAGATATTTGAGTATTGAGTGCTTGTAATTCGATATAATTTGTTGAATGAATGCATTTTCTTTATTCTAATAATGTAATTGCAAAAAAACCAGCAAAATTCAATCTATCCTATTGCACATTTTTAAAATAATTTAGAAAAGCAAAGTTTTGTTTTAATTTTTATTTGACAATTTTTAGTAAAGGTCATAAAGGTTTTTGTAACACGCTATAAAAAAGCATTTAACTGCATAGATAGATAAAAATAAAATTATATATTAAATATAACTGCGAATTCCATTATTATTATCTTCGAATTTTTAATTGTATTCAAATTCATCGAGATTTCTGCTTTTACACCATTTAATTTTAATTTTAGTTCTAATAATGGTATATAGTATTGGCAGTTTACGGGTAAATTGCTTTAGCTATACTTACACTCTCACGTTCCTTTTCGAATTTCCTGTTAAATTTAATATAAATTAGTATTGTCCCAATACAAATAAATTAGTCGCTTACTTTAAGGTTAGATTCAATTGACTTTTCAAAATCGTCTCTAAATTCTTGATTTTTCTTTTGTATACACGATTCGCAGGAAATGTTATTTGTAAATACTGCTCGTATAAAAATAGAATTTGTATTATATATTAGAAAATTAGAAAAATACTTGCGAGAGAAAAATGAAAAAAGATATTAATAATTGATGGCAATAAAATAAATTAGGCAAATAAGTCTTTTCCCTGCAAATAATATTTGATATGAATTTGTCAAGCCGAATCTTGTTAGGAGTTATGATTTTATTCAAGAAATAATTATTTTGAATCTCAGAATTCTTTTATATATATTACAAAATGATCGATCATTATCATTGTTACCGCCAGATCAGTACGTAAAGGTAAAAATAATATAAATAAAGATTTTTGTTGATAGTTCTTTTTCAAACCGATCATTAAATTTTTGAAATAAATTTGCATTTCTTAGTATCGTTTCGACACTTTGAAACCTTTTTTTGTTTGACAATTTAAATTGATTGATGGGCGAAGGTTTCAAGAGAAATGTTATGTAACTACAAAAATCCTTTAATAACATTCAGTTGAACTCAACTATCAGTTATTGTTTAATAGATAAAGAATTTTTTGGTTATTCCACTAAAAAATTTAACAACATCTTTTGAACTATTCCTATAATCTATTATAACCCGCTTGAAAAATGTTGCACGCACTATTCAAAGAAAACGTCATTTTGGATATATTTTGAAATTTGCAGTATTGGTAATTGGACTTGGTCCCAATTCTAAAGCGTGGCCAATCATATTTCAGAATTTAAACTAATAAGGACCATCTTCTTCTATTTCACATTTTTCCCTTTCCATCTACTAATAACCGGGTGCCTGGTCCTTTTGATTCTTTCAATTGTAGTTGTTTTACAATTCAACAAACAATTATGACAAGTTTTTTTAGTTCAATTCATTAATATTTATACTAGGTTGAGAGCAATGCAGATACCAAATGATTGTAACCATTTGGTTTGTCGGGTAAAACATAAAGTATTTTTTATATCAATTACTTCCTTTAATAAAAATCCTGGTGACAAAAGTCCAAATAAAATCTAGTCCAGTCCAATAGGTCCAATCAGTCCAAAGTCCAATAAAATGTAAATTTGGGTCTTTAAATTTCAATTTTGGGGAAGAAATAAATCGCCCCATATGTTAATATATTAATATGTTCCAACCCACCGATTAATCCCATTTTTGTGCAAATCGCAAAAAAATTTTTTTTTTTAAAAATGAGCATTGATGAAGAAGAAAGTAAACCTTTAGTGGGTATTATTTATCCTCCTCCAGATATAAGAAGTATCCTTCGCTCTTTTACTTGCTTGATTTTTTCTTTTATGTATTTTCTCAATACCTTTTAGGAAAAAAATTGATATTTATATACAATTCTCAATTTTGCAACCAAGGATCTAGAGTTCTAAAAAAAACAATCCCCTTTTAAAACTCGATCTATAAAGGTGTAGTGTTGAGAATCTCTATATAAGTATTTTCTAAAAAAAACTCTATAATCAAAGGGAGGAAAAAAAAAAAATCAAAAGGTTACTTTTTTTATTATCCTTAACATTTTATAAAATTACTTTTTTTAGATATTGTTGATAAAACTGCTACATTTGTTGCTAGAAATGGCATACAGTTTGAAGAACGTATAAGAGAAAATGAAAAACATAATACAAAATTCAGTTTTTTAAATCCAAATGATCCATATCATGCATACTACCAGTATAAAATTACAGAAACAAAAGAAGGAAAAAGTAATCTTTTAATAATAATATTGTTATTGTTGTTGTTGTTGTTGCTGTTAACATTATTATTTATTAAATATTGATGTGGTTTGTAATATATCTTAGCACCAAAGAAACCTGATTTAAAAGAATCAAAAGTTGAAGTAAAGGATCAAGCACCTCCACCAAAAGCTCCTCCAAAGGAACCACCACCTTTTGAATTTACGACCGATATGCCTGCTATATCAGCACAGGATCTGTTAGTTTTTTATTTTATTTATATTTTAAAAAAATAATCAAGAAGAATATATATATAAATACTAATCTCGTATTGAATTAATAGTGATATTTTGAAATTAACAGCTCAATTTGTTGCTCGTAATGGAAGACAATTCATGACTGCACTTTCTCAACGAGAACAACGAAATTATCAATTTGATTTTTTGAGACCGAATCATAGCTTGTTCAATTATTTTACAAAATTAGTAGAACAATACACCAAAGTTTTAATTCCACCAAAAAATTTAAATGAAAAATTAAAAACTAATGTGGTTAACAAATATCAAATATTAGATAGAGTCATGCAACGTGTAGAGTATGCTGCTTATCAAGAAGAAGAAAGAAAAAAGGCAGAAGAAAAAGAAGACCAAGAAAGAAGTAAATTAACAAATAACTATAATAATATTTATTATTTAGTAATTATTATCTTACTAAATTACATCGTATTGTTTTACTTTATTTTAGCTGCATATGCCTCGATTGATTGGCATGATTTTGTTATTGTAGAAACTGTTGAATTCACAGAAGCGGATGAAACAATTGATCTTCCACCCCCTATGAGTATCATGGAATTGGAAAACATGACACTGGCTCAAAAAAAGATGGCATCTGTTGCCATGATAGAAAGTCAAGATGATAAAGTTGATGAAGTTGATATGGAGGTTATTATTATTGTTATTATTGTTATTATTGTTACTACTACTATTATTATATTATCATTAATGTTCTTTGTTATATTGAATCTGCATATATATATATGTGTGTATATATTTATTGATATAAATATATAAAATAGATGGATGACGATGTTGATATGGAAGATGAAATGGAGCAAGATGCTTCAATGGAAGAGGAATCACAAGAAGTTGATCAACCTGCTCTAATAACAGAAATCAAACCAATAGAAACACCTGGACCTATGAAAATTATTAAAGATTACGTACCAAAAGGTAATATTTAATCTTTAATATATGTGTGTGTGTATATTGTACGTGTTTTTATATATTTTTGGTAAAACTAAAATGTTCATATTTTATTTGTTATTTGTTATAGCGTATGCACTTAAGAACAGTACTACTGAAAAACCTACACAAATATGTCCACGCTGTAATCAAGCCATTCCTGTTGATGAAATGGATGACCATGTTCGTATTGAATTATTAGATCCAAAATGGAAAGAACAAAAAATGGCTGCAGAAGCAAAAAAAAAGGAATCGAATTTGTTACAAGAAGGTATATAATACACTATAGTATATTATAGTACATATATACACATATATAATTTATTTTGCATTATTATACTTAAAAAATGTTTCTAAATAAATTTAGGAACCGACGTTGCAAAAAATCTCAAGGTATTTTCTGGATATCGTTCAGATATTTTCGGTACTGAAGAAACAGAAATTGGCAGAAAGGTATGAACTAATGGACGAATTATTTGTTTAATACAAATACTATATAGATACTTGTATTTTATATATATCCATCAATATTTATTTATTGATTTATATTAATTAGATTGGTGAAGAAGAAGAAAAGAAGAAAAGAATCGAGAAAGAAAAGGTTGTTTGGGATGGTCACACTGCATCAATTAACATGGCTACACAACGTGCTGCTGCCGGTGTATCTATTGACGAACAAATTGCAGCAATTCATAGAAGTAAAGGATTAACAAGGTATTTTGTAATAAATCATTTTTATAACATTGATAATAATTAATATTTATAATAATCTATTATTCTATTTGCTTTTTAGTGATAGTGATTCAAAGATTGGACCAAAAATACCTCAACAAGATCAACATCAACATTCACATCAACACCCACATTTAATGCATCCTCAACAACAACCTGGAATGCAACATTCTTCACAATCACAACAGTCACAACAACAGCAACAGCAGCAACAACAACAACAACAACAACAATTATATGGTTACTCTCCTCAGAATGCTCCTGTAATGACACACAACCCTATGCAATCACCATATTCCGGTTATGCTCCTTCATCTACACCATTTGCACATCAACTACCAGGCTATATTCCCCCGCTTGCTCCACAACAGCAGCAGCAACAACAACAACATCAACAAACACCCCCACCACCACCTTTACTTCCTCAAGTAAGAACTCCACTTAACCAATCACTCCATAGACAAACTCCTCCACCAGGAATACCAATTGCTAATACTACATCACTACAACCACCGCCTCCACCTCCAACACCAATATCAGCTACATCTTCACCAAATGTACCTATTTCGCCTGTACAGCAAACAAACAAACCTACTCGACCTGCTGAAGAAGATGTGGACTCTACACCTCCTCCTATATTAAAGCGTCAAAAAATAGATAATGGTGCTTCCATAGCACCTATTCTTGTATCTGAAGAAGAATGGTTAGCCACTCATCAGGTATTTATATTTAAAATGAAATAAACAATAAGGTTCATATAGTTTTTCTCTATACAAATCCTCTAATATCTATCTATATGAATGAAATGTTCGTTGTATAGGTATCTATTAATATACAAGTTCAATGTCCAACTATTCCTGAAAAACCAGAATGGAATTGTCAAGGTCAAGTTATTGTTCTTGAGGGTCTTCAATTGAATACATTGGTTTCAACGTTAAAAGATAAGATAGCTTCACAGTTAAATTTTCCAGCTGGAAAACAAAAGCTTACACTTGGAGGCGCAGTTATGAAAAATCAAGTTTCATTGGCTTACTATAATTTAGAAGATAATATAATGATTGGGTTGGCAATCAAAGATCGTGGAAAAAAATAAATAATTTGATTGATTGATTTTTAAATTTTATTTTTTTATTTTATTTAATATATATACATATACATACACACCTTTATTAAAACAATATATTAATATTAAAAAAAACTTTATGATGATTGTTTTCCTTTCATTTCTTTTTTTGTGTAATCTGTACATGGTATTAATTGAATCATAGTGGACATTTGAAATGTCTCACGAAATTTCAATAAACAAATGAATGTTCTTATAAAAAAAAGTTCACATTTAGGATGGTTCTGACATGGATTTTTTTTACTCTAAAAGGTGACAAGTCATTTCAAAAAAACTATTTATAAGATTTATTGTTTATTCAATAATTATACAAAAAAATATTGGTAATTTTAACTATTTATAAGATTTGTTGTTTATTCAATAATTATACAAAAAAATATTGGTAATTTTAAAGTTAATAAATATTAGTAGGATCCCAGCAAAAACGTTTTTTTCTTGTTTTACTCAACGCATTCAATGATTCCATATCCTAATTTAAAAAAAAAAACAATAATATTAAGATTAAATATAATATTTAATAAATACATAAATTCATTTGTTCATTATTATTACCTCCTTTGATAATTCAAAATGAAATATTTCAGAATTAACTTTAATTCTTTCAGGTGTAACAGATTTAGGTATAACAATAGCATCATGTTGATATCCCCATCTCAACAAGACTTGTGCCTCAGTAACCTTATGTTTATCAGCAATTTCTTTAATAATGGGTATTTTGATTTTTCCATTTACCAATTGTCCCTCTCCTAAACTCGAATAGGCTTCTACCCTGATATTATGCTTTTTAGTCAATTCAATTATTTCTTTTTGCTCATCTTGATACAACAACGGGTGCAACTCAAATTGATGTACTGCTGGTACAACTTTACAATTAGCTAATAGATGCGTAAGATGTTTTTTTGTATAGTTGCATACTCCAATTGATCTAACTTTGCCTTCAGAATATAATTTTTCTAACGCTTCCCAACTTCCTTGACGGTTGGTTTCATTCATAGGATCTTCTGGTTTAAGTCCTTGCGTTCTACAATTTTATTTTATTTTTGTTATTATAAATATGGTCAATTTGTTGATCGATTAATTAATAATTAATTACTTACCCAGGCCAATGAATTAAAAAAAGGTCAAGATAATCTGTGTCAAAGCGTTTTAAAGATTTCAAAACAGCTAAACACAACAATAATAATATTGTTATTATTTATTTATTTATTTATTTCACTTATAGTAATTTTTTATCATGAAAAAGCTTTTTTTTTAAAAAATATAAATTTCGAACCATTATAACATTTATCGTAGCCTTGCTCCTGTGTAGCTAAAAAAAAAAAAAATAAATAAAAATAAATATTTAATTTTGTAAAAATAAAATAAATAAATATTCTCGATACCAACATATTTTGCTAGATATAAAGAAATCCTTTCTAGTCAGTCCTGATGACTTATCACAACATATTCCTTTAATTGTTTTTCCAATTCCTCCTTCATTTCCATAACCAACCGCTGAATCTATTTATACATATATATACATATAAATATATATTTAAAGAAGAAAATAAACATATTTAAGTAAAACAAATATTACCTATAAGTCTGTAGCCTGTTAAAGCTGCAGTTTTGATTGCTACATCAAGTACTTCACAATTTTTTGCACGAAACGTTCCCACTAATTTGATTCAATTTTAACTGATTAATCGATTGATTAATTGATCAATTTGAAGAAAAAACTAACAAATAACCTACATCCAAGAGCAGGAATTTGAACATTATTATTAAGGGTAAATAGAGGAATTGAAGTAGACATTATTTGAAAAACCTTGCTATAAAATTTCATTAAATGGGCAACATTTTTATAGTAAATTTTTGTGACAAAAAATTACCAATACTAGACCTTACACAAAATGTTGTTTGTGCCATATGACTTTTGTATATAGTTTTGTTTAGTGTATATACAGCGCAGGACATCTATAATGGTCAATGATTATCACATGACTTTAAAAGCTTATGACTCCTTATTAAAAAAGAAAAAGAAAAAAATGATTTAGTCAAAACTTTACTAATTTATGTAAACAAAGAAAAGAAAATCCAATCTATTTTGATAGAAGCTCTAAATACAATGAATAATCTCATAAGAGATCAAATTTGGAAACAGCGTTGCAGTTGAGATAGAACTTCAATTTGGTATTAATAAACGAAATAAAAGGAAAGCTAATAATAGTAATAATAATAATAATAATATACTATTAACAATCAATAACAACAGTATAAATACGGATAATAATCACAATAATAAAATAAATAAAAAAAAGAAAATACCATCAGAAAATTGGAAAATTTGGATGGTAAATAATATCAAATATGGACAGAACATACAATTGTTGTAATAGTGACGTTTTGCTCTTTTCTGTTTGGAAGTGTGATTACTTTATATCAAATGTTAAATTCCATTATGGACTAACAGCCAACCAATCTGATATGTTTTTTATCTGTTATTTTATAAATGTAATTGATAATATAAATTTAATAAACAACTACATCGTTAAAAAAAAAAAAAAAAAAAAAGAAAAAGAAAAAGAAAAAAGTAAACTGATAGATTAAAGCTATCATTTCTATCGGTTTACTTTTTTCTTTTTATTAAAAAAGTTGAGTTATAAGGCTTCAAAGTTAGGTCATTCTATATACATAGGTAAACTCGATAAGTCGGATTTGGCCTAACTCGGACAAAAATTTCCAGCCCTTTTTTTTTTATATTTAAAAATTCCTTGATAAGTCGGACACATATATAAACTCTTGTTAAGCTGTAAGTAGGACAACTCCTCCAGCCAGATAATAATAATAATAAATGACTCTCGATAAGTCGGTTCACGTGATTTTCGTAAATCTTGAGAGATAATCTTTACTATTTTTAGTAATGTATTATCCAATAAATTTTTGTAATAATAATTTCGTCATTATTCATAATTTGTAATAATAATTCGTCATTATTCATAATTTGTAATAAATCCGTTTCGTGAATAATATTATAATCATTTTAAAAAATTTATCATATATTTTATTGTTATATTTACCAATTATGTCATTTATTATCTCATCATTAAATGAATCCACGTTCCGTTGTCTCATCATTAAATAATTCACAATTTGTTGTCTCATCATTAAATAATTCATGGTTTATTACCTCATCATTAATAATGTGTTTACCCCGATCGACCGACAGCCGTTATACCGACTCCGTTATACCGACAGGACGTTTTACCGACAGGACATTATACCGACAAGTCATATACCGACAAGTCATTTTCTAATATATTCTATCAATTTAGCATAATACAGTCAACCCCTCTAAGTGCACCCTCTCTAAACGCACGCCATGTCCCATTCCCAAACTTCTAGTGAGCTTATATTATAAAATTATCTCCTCTAAATGCACACCCTCTCTAAATGCACGTTCATGAGAAATATTGATATGTTCCCAAGGAGGGTGCACTTAGAGGGGGTTGACTGTATTTCTTTGTTTTCCTACCATAACCATATCAGTTGATTATCATTATCCGTTAATATTAAGAAACGGCATATATAATATATATTAATATATCTGATGATGTTAGCCGAGTAATCTGTTTAAGTCTGTCAAACCATTTATTAGCCGGCTAAGCTGTTCAAGTCTGTTAAATCATTTATTAGACGGCTAGGCTGTTTAAGTGGTAAAGCCATTTATTAGACGGCTAGATTGATTAATTGCACTATTACTATGAAATGACTTGTCGGTATAACGTCCTGTCGGTATAACAGAGTCGGTATAACGGCTGTCGGTATAATGTCTGTCGGTCGATCGGGCGGGACCCATTAATAATTCACAATTTATTATTATTATAGAGAAAAATCCGTTATAGAAAGATCCGTTATAGACAGTGTAGACTGTAGTGTGTTTTCGTGTAATTGATACACTTGGGTTCTCCGAAATTTTGCAGTAGTGTACCATTTGATCTAATAAAATCTACTAAAACAAATACAAAGGATAAAATTATTATTTATCAAATAGAAATAAAGAAGCTTTAAAGTATACAAATATGATTGATTTTGGACTGAGATTGATGTATCAAAAAAAAAATTTTGCAACATTAAAAATCATTAAAATTTTATACATTAATAATATTATTTTGAATAAATTCTTTAAAACAATGCTGTTTAAATTGACTACTACTTGTGTGATCGATTCAATCATTAACACCAAAGAAGCAAAATTAATTATTTCACAATAAAAGTTATTTGTTTGTTTGTTTATTTATTGTTGTTTTTTTTGATTTTAATATCAATGCATGGTTTCTATTCGTAATACAAATTTGCTTTATTCGATCAAATTATTATTTGTTTTATTTGTTTTATTCACTTTATTTTTTACTCAAATTATTCGTTTTATTCGAATAAACCTTATTTGAACAGCAACCCTAACTACTACAATATTAATTTAGACTGTATGATAAAAATACTAACTTATCAGTATGCTAATACCTTGATTTTTTTGAAGAATAATCGGATTCTGATATTTGCTGATACCCCATTACCCAATTTGGCTCATTCAACCAGTAAAAAGAGAACCAATAGATTATATATAAGCAAAGAAAGATGGGAGCACAAAATAATTTTAAATGCACAAACATGATAGCTTGATGATACCAAGGCCATGCATGAATGAAACTTTTAATAATGTGTGTCTACCCAGAGATCTCTGGGATTCACAAAATAAATTATTTTTTCTGATTATCAATTATGGTTCCTTATGAATAATAAATCTGGTGTTGATCACAGGCGTCAGATTTGATTAAAATTTCCTATCACAAACATACAAACTCGGGTGCAATTAAGCACAATTCAGCACCATGGAATGTTTTCCACAGGTGAAAGAGATTTGAACATGTTGGAAGGCTTTGGACAAAACTTTTCTTTGTCTTCCCCTCAGACCAGGCTGGCTGTTTCCATATGGGCATTGATCACTGATAGCTGGTGCTTGTGTGATGATTGCTTTGTGTTATCACCCTCTCTCACTAGAATAAAGTTACAAGTTCAGTTGGTCAAACAAAAATTAAAAAAACAGAAAATTTGGGAATGATTAATTTATAACATAACATACCAAAATCCAAACCATTTTATGCCTTTTTCTTGTTGGCCATATTGCTGACAAAGATGTATATAATCATGTGATAATGATTATACAAAACAGACACTATTTTACAACTTTCCTCAGTGTCCAAATGCAATTTCAGGACCACAAATCCTGCTCTGGATTGTGACCTCCTGTGCTTGAACGAGCTGCAGATTCTCTTGATATTCCTCCAGAGTTGCAACAGCTTGGTCACAGAGCCATACTTACCCTGGAGGTGGGATCGTTGCAGGCAACTTTTCGGCTAGCGTTCCAGCAGCCTTTTCTGGTCTGGTGCTGTAAGGGAAGATTAGTGAAAATATCCTTGATGATGATGCAGTTTTGGTAAACTCCAGAGCCACGTCCCCTCCCTGAAAATTTAACAACATCATTGTATCATCGGGGCACACTAGTCAGATTAGCCTTTTGTACATGAGGAACGTGTGAGAATGACTGTAATGTGTTCAAGGTAGCGTGTGTGCTTCAACACTTGTAAATTTTCGATAATCAAACATTGCATATTTGAATTGTTTCTTTTGCAACAGTCAATGCTGCCTTGACATCTTGTAATTATATATTAATATAATATTAGTATTATTATCACGATTACGCAAAGCAAAATATTATCAATGAAAATCTTGTAATTACCCAGCAAGATCTGCTCCGCGTTTTGATTCCAATTTAAAATATTTATAAAGTAAAAATACATATATCATTACAAAAAATAGTACCTCTATTATTAACACTTCTTCTTTAGGAGGATCAAACCAAACCATACCAAACAATATCACTCACGTTTTGTCATCTTGGACTCTGTCAAAAAATAAATTGTTTTTCCAAAAAAAAAAAAAAAAAAAAAATCAATTCGCGTCTGTCCTCCCGAAAAAAACCAATAGGATAAATAATTAATGTGGTACGCGTCGATCAATTAATAAACTTTTTCTTTTATAATGCCGTTACTTAAAGATAGAAAAAGACGAAATAAAGAATTCGTTGTTGATGTTGCTGGGTAAGTGTGTTTATCATAAGAATCACTACTAGTCGTCACTCTAGTTTCTAATAATTATGTCTTTCAAACTGCAGAGGAGGTAGCGGATTCGATTTCAAATTATATGCTAAAGAAATTGTACTAGAATTAGGAGCTTCTCATGACATACTCGAGGAAGAAATAACAACAAAAGAATTTTTTGAAATAGAGGAAACTTTAATAAAAACACTTGAAATTTCGCTGAGGGAAATATCAGATAAATTATTAGAATATGTAAATTCTGCAAAAGCGAATGATTTATTTTGTATATGGTGCACCAACTCTTAACCCGACAATAAAATCACCTGACTTTGAAACCTTTCAACTCAACATAGAGACATTTTTTTAAAAAATCCACCAGTAAATATGTTCATTGCAATAAGC